AATTACTGATATGTGTAAGATTTTTGTTTAAAGCTTCTACATCTATCTCAAATGAACACTTTTCTTTCCTTAAAACGATGTTAATACTTTCCATACATACTGAAATTACTATATTTGATTTCTCAGATAAAATGTTGAATACAGTTCTGTGGTACCGCTGTCTTGATTAGCTTACATATGATAATAGTTACGTGTTTTTTGACTATGACCTTACTCTTTGATAATAATTATTCACCGTGGTTGTGCACCGTTTCCACTCTTGTTAGTTAGGCTTTATACAGAGGATCAGTGGAAGTATACCGATTTCAGTATGAGTTAGTTTCATATACAAGGCAAAGTCGTGTTGCGAACAGTAAAGTAGTATCAAGAGAGCTCAGCTCTGGATACTCTTTGCTTAATTAAAATGAATTTGAGATAGTGGAAATTACCTTTAATTCATCAAAATTTGAGAATTATTGTGTACGTTCTATCATAGGGCTTGATGGTATGTATCATCAGAATTAACTTCATTAAGGTGGTAGATTTTCAAGCCGTAAAGTAAATCCCAAAAAGTGGGTGGTTCATATCAAGTCCTTGATGCATAGTAGGATGATGACACTCAGTTTAGGAGGTAGCTTCTCATGAGTTATTTAGAGATCAATTACCTTAAACAGATTTTTCTTGTACTAGGCGAGAAGGCAAACATATTGTGATTGCTAACGATGTTATCGAGTTGCTGAAATAAGTGAAGCAGGATTTCAGCCCTATCTAGTGGCTGAAAGTTGAATAATTAAACCTTTGAGTGTAATCTCCAACTTTCAATATATTGGATGGACAAAACATTTAGGCGCCTAAACACCATCAGTAGTACTCTAACTTGTACATTACCTTTCTTTTTAAATGTGTGGTTTCTCAAAATGGAATTCAAACTATGTGTCTGAGCATTCAACATTTACAACCTATTCCCCACCATTGATATAAGAATAAAACTTATGCAGTGTGGTAGAGTATAATTCCATTATGTGTAAACTTTGTTTTGATAAAGTGTTATACAGTAATGTTTGTTGACGACCACGTTTCGAGCACAATTTATTGCTCATAATCATATCAAAGTACTCACACAACTTCTTAACCGTTTCGATCTTGCGTCTGCTGGAATAAATGCAGTTATTCGGCTTTAAAGCTTACGTATCCACTGGCCTTAAGTGTGTACTTGTTCAAACGATACTCTCCCTAGAGAAACCATAATGAATGTGAAGGGTTTGAAGACGATAAACACTGTTCGGTTAGAATAGTGGATGAATTATTACTAGAGATTCATCGTGGATAGGAGAACACAAGTTTGGCTCTTGATATACATTTATTCACTTAGTGTTCTAATTACTCATAAATGAAAAAGTAACATCAAGCTCATAGATTTAGCTCGACCTTATATAGCAATCTAACATTTCGTATATAATTTGTGGAATCATCTTTATAGTAAGCATCATTTGTTAATTGTTCAACAACATTTTTGAAATGTTTCTGATAAATAATTACTTTGATAAAGTCTTCACATATGAAGAAAATAGTGAAAAAATGAATATCCTGAAATTCACTAACAATTCTGCCTCCTTAACCTTATATACACATAAAGGCTGAGCAGAAAACATGGAGCAATTTGGAAAATATTATTCAGCACTAGTCACGCTTATATCTAAAAAAAATTAGCAAACGAAGAAATTATTTATAAGAATAAAACTTGGGCACTATGGTAGGGTATAATTCCGATATGGATAAAATTTATTTTGATAAAATCACAGTGTTATAAAGTAATATTTACTGATGACCACGTTTCGAGCACAATTTATTGCTCATAATCATATCAAGGTACTCACTCACATAACTTTCTTCATTTATATACATGGGTAAAATTGATTAGACATTTGAATAAAGTCACTATAAGACAAAGTACATTGGGAAATAATATTAGTCTTATCAATAAAATACAATAAGATGGGAAATAAGATGTTTTTATAGTAAAAATAAGTAACTTGTTAGAATGTGAACTGAATGCACTTTAACATTATTTATTATCCTCTGATTTGACTGGTGGTAATAATATCTTCCATATATATGAACCCGGTGGAACCGATGAAACAAAATAATATAATTCGCAATGACTGTGAGGTCAACTACATAGGTCAACCTAGTAGATCAGGAGTCGTGAGATTATCAGAACATAAGAATTTAGTTAACGTTAGAATGACTGATCCCACGAAGATAAGTAATTTAGAAAAAAACTCAGCAATTGCTCTGCATGCATCACCATTCAACCACACAATAGGGGTGGGACAGAGTCTAAATTCTAAGGAGTAATATGGGAAGGTGGAGAGAGAGAGAGGGAGATTGATTACTGAATCCTTGTCCATCGAGTCTACACCCAACACATACTATAGAAGTGACTCAAGGCAAATACCAGAGATATGGAAGATATTATTACCAATCAAATCAGAGGAAAATAAATAATGTTGAAGTATATTTCAATTCACATTATGACACTAACAAGTTATTGATTTTACTTAAAAAAACATCTTATTGACTAATAATACTCGTCTTCTCATCCTGTTATATTTTATTGACAACACTAATATTGTTTCCGAATGTATTTTATCTTCCTTTCTGTTTCACGCATATCTTATATTGATTTTATTGAAATGTCTGATCAATTTTTACTCATGTATGTAAACGAAGCGAGGAAGTTGTGTGAGTGAGTACCTTGATATGATTTTTATGAGCAACAAAACTGTGTTCGAAACGTGGTCATCAGTAAATATTGCTGTGTATAAGCACTATATGATTTTATCAAAATAAAATTTTATCCATAATGGAAGAAAATAACTACATAATTTAGTGATTACAAATACTGCAGCTGAATTAATCTTAATAATCCTGTTGAATGTGAAATCATACAGTAACCTAGATAATATCAAAGTTAATGAATATCACATAAGAGCACAGGTTAGAAAAATAATGACATCCTAAAAGCATAACCTTGTCTAATGTATCATCCAATCTCAAACAAATTTCGTTTAAATGTCATAATGAAAAATACTTCACAGAAAGAAAAAACAACCGTGAAAGGTCAAAATAAATTAAATGACCTTACAAGTATTTTTAAATAAAAAGAGATTTAAAAAAGAAAAATGTCATCGCTGTTGAGAATCAACAAAGTGATGTCATCTAGCGCTAAATGATGTTTCTTTATTCGCAAGGTGATAACAGATACTGACGCGATGAAAAAAACATCACAAAAGCTCTTTTTCAAAGCTGTTAATCATAATTTAGGTTAAAAATGTCACAAGCAGATTACGAAAAAAGAAACTAGCAGTTCCATTTCGAAAGCTGTTGAGGAATCCATAAAAAAGGTCTGAACATCTATCTAATACTTCCATATGTATTTCAACAGCCATTTAGTTGGTGTCGGAGCGTAATGAAAACCTTTTAGACTGGATGATTATGAATATTTAATCTAAACACCCAAAAGACTTCATTAATTCAAATTTTAAAAAAATTCTTGAAAATAAATCTGATGCTCGCTAGTGACTAGCTACAGGAAGAAGTTGCCTAGAGCACTAGTGAGCAGTCGTGACCAGTAGGGTCCATCTAGTCAGGAGTGAGGATGGAGTTCCCGCCGATGACACTGGTTGGTGGTCACACTATAATGTCGAATTAGTAGAAGTTAGAATTCATGGACTGGCCACTGAATCCGGTCCCAGCAGCTGAATGGTATACGAGCTCGCCGTAGGTTATATATATATATTGTGGAGCCATATATATTTCTTGTTCGACGTGAATAATGTCTGGAGGAGTTAAAAAACACTCTGCTTCTTAGTTGCAGAAAGATGGCAATGGCTCTATTATGAGTACAATAGTTGAAGGCCTCATCGACAATGGCCATTTTGTTTCATTAAACTCCTCCTTTAAATTGAGAAGCAACCTGCCAAAGATGATACACTTTCGTCTGCTCTACTATGCTGAAGCTTTAGCCGTTCATAGAGGGAAACCGGAGCTATGGATACAAAATAAAATTATTGAAGTACTTATAAATGCTACTGAATGTAAGTTCCTCTGTTAAGTTCAATAAACAGCTGACTAAACAATCTAGATAATTTTGCCTCACGCGTTGTTCATATCACATTAACAAGCGAATAACAATCATGTGTAACAAAACGTTAATCGGAACGATGAGAACTTACAACGTTGTATAAGAGGTATGACTTACTTTATTATGTATTGCCACTATGCTCCATATCATATAATTTGTCATTTCGGGTTATATAAATCCCGGAGTAGTTTCTTTCCACTTCGCAGTATAGCTTATCATTTTATATTAATGGTGATAACAATCATGTTTTGTAAAAGATTAGTTATCACCGAAATATACAGTACAATCTCACCAAATGAAATGAAACTAGTATCTAACATCAAACGGTACAGGCTAATTCAAGTACCGGGCAGAATTCCAAGCACATGAATCAGAAAATGAGTTTTGTACACCTAGAACTTAGCGCTATACAAAAAGTTCGGATGTTTCAGGAAACAAAAACATTTTTATTTTTCGGAATCTAAATTCTTATATTTAGAAAAATAGTAGTCATCAAGAGGTACAAAAGGTATGTTTTAAAAATGCACTACTAATGAAAAGTAGAGCCCCATCATTAATACAAACATCATAACATTTAATTCACAAAGTATACGTATTTTATATAAAAAATACCAGTTAACCTGGCATGTAATCGTGTAGAGAGAAAATAAAAATTCAAAAATACACCAAATCGGTAATGTTTTGTAAACACAAACAATAAAAAAGGCTATCTAAGATTTATCATTCTTTTCACAAAAATACACGACAAGCTAATTTACAGGACTAGAAAATTAAATTTTTAGAAGAAGAATTACACCAAAGCAAAGTTAAAAAATCATAAATACATGACGAAAAGATATGAAAGACAAGTAGCTGTTTCTTCTTCCTGTTTCTTTCAGTTCAATAACCAATTTCCACATTTGCGAGTCCATTCTACGGCTAAGAATAAAGCCCCAGTTGCTGGAAACGTCCGCAGAATTGTTGGACCAAGGCCACGATAAAGTGCGAAAAATCCTGCAAAACAGTTAGGTGTGACACCACATTAGACTAATAGTTTTTAAAAGCCAAGTATCATGACTATCATTGAAATATAATAGTGCTTCTTTAGATAAACTTAACAAAAAAATAAGTATCTAACTGGAGAATGTTTTTCCTACTAATTCGTTCTTTTCCGTAGGTCTCCGTGGGGTTTTTCTATTAATTGTCTGAATATACCAAATGAAATCTTAGTATCCATCTGGTTACTATCAATGATGAGGTCGTCAGAATGCTTACAGTTGACTGGATAGTAGCGACATTGATACACCTAATGGAACACCATTTGAATTTAGCACAAAACGTTAACAAGAAAGGAAACTATCCGATCTGTTCTATGAGTGGCTAGAGCGAAATTACAGTATCTGTTCTAGATATGCTTTCTCTATACTTTGAGCTTGAAATTTTTGTTACCAGTAGTTTATAAAGAATCAAACTGTAGAGAATTTCTTTCCACTTCAGAAAGGACAAGCATAACCAATAACAAAGAAGATGAATACAGTGAGAATTATTAAAACAACTATAAGACGAATACAATGCAGAAATACCTCTTCAATTAACATCTTATCAACACTGTTTATGGAAGCTGGTGTTATTGTTATTCGCACTGAGAAAAAAGACGCCTTAAATAATGCTTCAAAGTTTCGATTGATACCCATTTACTATCTTATAGTGGGTCACTTCGACTAAGCAGAAAACTTAAGACAAATGCAATCCGAGGCTCACTCATCACTCACTGCGAAGTGCAGGTACATCCAGCTGACGAGTCCAAAATAGAACAAAATGTGCATCCTGGATTCCACTGCTAGTCACCATCCACCAATTAACATCTAATTACATGCCCAGACATCGTCGAAGCATCTGCACAAGAAGCTGACATGTCAACCTGAGACCGAGCACTTCGGTTTAATCAATCGATGGGAAAATCTAAAATTGAATTATATAATTACCTCTGTCAAAACAGATTCAATTACGCCACTCCTGGCAATTTGCCTGATTCACGTCGCACTATATAAGAATGTTTGTTTCCTGCAAGGAAACTTACCTGTCAAGTTTAAAAAACAAGTAGGACTGACTACATATTTGGGTTTAAACTCAATTCCACGTAATTTAGTCTTGATAGATAGATAGTATAAAAGCCAATGAACATCAATTGAGTCATATTTTAGCACATAAATTTGTATTGCCGACTGAATTATATGACTGACAATTACAAAGGAAGAATGAAGCGTAAAGCTTAGAATAACCTATAACAGCGATACCATCACTAGCAGAATTAGCTAATAATCATAAAGCAGATACCAGTTGTCTTCCAGATAAAAAGAAAATATGCAGGTACTAATTTACTTGCCTTTAGAACTGTTTTTGGTGCAAATTAATATTTACGTGTCAGATGTAAATAGTGGAGTTAAGCTTGTAAGACTTAGAAAAAACGGCATTCATTTCATTTGTTTACGATGAAAAGATACTTTGTAATAGCATGTACGTTAGGTTCTTGTCGTAAATAACTAACGAGAGCATCGTAAGACGTTTACACCAATTTGAAATATAATTAAGTCTGTCTGACAAGCAATTTATAGAATCAATCAGGGAGAAGTGGATAGCTTCCCGATTCACGGTATCCGTTGTAGTATTTAGTAGTTTATATGCAAAAAGGAGAGGCCGAATGCTCAATCTATGTTTATATCATTGAACAAACTTTACAAAAAAAAGGTCCCTGTATGTTCTGCAGCACGACTGCTTGGTATTTTCGTAAAAGTAAACACGTAGAAACAAGGAAAATATTTGTTTTTCAAGCTCATATATTAGATCTTGGTTGAAAATTATCGAACAACTGCTGTCCTCATTCTAAAGTATAAACCCCTATTATTTCGAAATTGTGACTATCAAATATGTATTCTACAATGTTTTGTTGAGACCGCTGTGAGTGAAAGACTGAAATCCAATCTGCCTTTCATTTTCAAAAAATCCATCATTTTAATTACAGGAAGCGAGAGATATCTTTTGGCTACTATTTTCAAACGATCTATAAAACCACTGTATGATAAAGATAAAGAGAAGATTAGGGTGCGTATCAAAGTCCATTCCACGATTGATTTAATATTTCTTGCTAGTTTGGTAAGTTTTAGATGCACCGAAACAAATTACAAAGTAAATTACGTATTGCTTTTAACACTCAGTTTTTATGAATCGCCTTTAAAATCCAAAATCCTTCACTTATTTTTGGGTGGGTAACGATGTTTTGTAAGACACTAACTGTGGATAACATTCTAGTACATACAGAACTACACATCCCAACAACTGTACTTCTGCTCTATCCAAACACAAAAGACATTACCATGAAAGGCTTACACAATTTATATAAGTTAATACCAGTAAGAAAATCAAAAACAATATTCAGTCACCTTCATTTTTCTTGATGTCTAACAGAACTGATAAAAAGTTTTGATTCTTAGATTGATTCCCATTGATATTTGAAGTAGTCGCATGGTGTCCAATTTGCATGCGAGATTTTACAACGTCAAATGGAAATATCGCCATCCATAACGAGACTCCACCAATTCCACCTGAAATCACAGTTTTGACTGGGCCTAGGTCTTCTTTACGCCCGTTGACTGGAGTCAGTAATGTTCGAGATGCTTCGTATCCACCGAAGAAAAAGAAATAACCTGGCATTTCCCGAGCAAATGTTGCACTTAAACCGCATGTAAATCCTCTGAGTCCTTTCTCTCTATATATTGACTTTGTCACTGCCCACGGACCACTTAATAAAAAACGAGGAACAAGTAAAAGCAAAAATAGGAATGACTGACTTAAAACTGGAGACTGGTTTCTGAGCCAATATATACAGTAGTGGTAGCTATAGTGACGCACTGTTGTGTGAAAAGATTATGTCAGAAACTTTATACGTCATTAATTTACGCCAAATTACACAACAAATTGTAAACATCTTAAGCGAATACTTGGGAGCGTTAGTATAGTAGAAACTAAAAATAAAGGAGAATAAATGCAGAGGATCAAAAACCTGCGAGAATGAGCCAGGAAATAACGAAAAACGTGATAATACGACTACTTGATACTATTCGGGCAGTTCGTGTCTGATTTATGAGAGATAAAATTGCGATTAAAGTAGTCATGGATAAGCAGATAAACATCTATTCACTGAGCAATCATAACACTTGCTCTTAAAAAGTGATTTTTTTAACAATAAGAAGCCGATGTACGAAATCATATCTAAAATAACAAGACAGTGGAAATCTCTAATAAAGACAACTACTCAGAACAATTTTCAGTTATTAGTCTGTCTAAAAAAGCGAAATTGGTTTATCAAATACCGAAACTGAATATATTTGCAATTATCTGAACCTTAATGCTGAGGTTTGAACAGGACTGCTCTGTATTATTGTTTCAATCAATATATTACTGCGTAATTTAAAAAAAATAAATAAACCATGTTAGTCAGTCAATCCTACAGAGTCAGGCGTTATAAACACAAAAAACCTTTTAGATGAATAAATTACCACAAACCTTCTCATCAGCAGTAAATTTATAAACTGGCCTAATATAGTTACTGTAAAGATATCAAAGTACTTCTAATTAGTTATAGACGGAGGATGAGAAAACGCCGAAGCACCCAACTATAATTACTTATAGGAACAAATAAATGAAGCTTGTAGCGACACTGGGGATGCTTAAGATAGCATTTCGCATAACGACCCACACTTACGTGTGTTTTGTATCACTTTTCAAATGTCCAAGCTCAGCCATTTCTCTTAACGACTGTACTTTGCACTTCACTAGTTCAGTTGGACACAGCGTTAAACTTGACCAGAAAGCAGCTAAGCTCCCTGCAAAAGCATGCTGAGTAACAGAGAGATTTTTATGATCAGTGCCGCAGACTTTCGCGACAACGTGTTGTGAGGGCGGGAGAGCACAAAACAATACTGCATTCTCAGCGACATTGGCTACTAATGAAGGGACAGTTCCTGCATAAATACCACGGGCAATTCCATCCTTGGCTAGTGTAACTCTAAGGCATTTCCACGCTGATGGGTAAACTTCTGGGAATGTTTGCATCTTGACCTTAATGGTATCAAGCGGTTGTCCAACATAAACAGTGGCGACTCCACCTGCGTTAAATCGTCAAATCAGTGAATAGTATTACCATTAATCCCAGCTATTAATCCGACAAGGCTATCTTTCACTTGTTGCATACTGCTTCAGGAACAATGACAACAATCTAACAGACAATCACGATGATACCTAACACTTGTAGGTAGCGCAAACACTTATAAAGTTTCTATGGGACATTCATTAAACATCGTTCAGCAGTGCTAACTGGACAACTCCAGTATCCAATATCCTGATTACGAGCTAGTATAAACCAGTGATTTCTTTGAGCTCGCTTCTTGATTGTAAGGTAGAGGTTCCAGATCTTCGGTGAACTTATGCGTAGTAAATCCCGCCACTCGACTGCTTTAGCTCTGGTAGACTCCAAGAGGAGTGGTGCGAGGATTGGTCAAGATTGTGGTTTGTAGTGTGCAGTATGTTAGGACTCAGCTGCTGCCATGAATGGAGTTTGACCTAACACCCGTTGGTCATTCGGTATAGTCATAAAAGTAGAATAGTAATAATAATAATAATAGGTTGTAGTGTAGATAATATAGGTTGAGATAAGTGAAATAATAAAGGTGAAATAATAAAGAAAGAAAGAAAAGATAGAGTAGTCGGTACAGTGGGAGAAGACAGGACGGGTCGTGGGGATTTAGATTGTATGCTTATCCATTGACAATGTGGTTTCAAATTTTAAGAGGGTAAGCCATTGAGACACAAACCATGCATTTCTGCATGATTGTCTAGCTTCCGCTTAAAAGTCTCCACAGATGGAGCTGTAGTTACGGCCGCCGGTAAAGCGTTCCAGAGACGGCAAACTCGAAGCGAGAAGAAATGTGAACGCACTCGAGTCCTTGGTCTCTGGTGTGCCATCCTTAGCGGGTTACCTCGTGGAAGCCTATAATCACTTAATGGCAGGATGCTCTTATTAGGGTGGGCCTGGTCATTTAAGATCTTATAGACGGTGATGAGGTCTTCCCTGTGACTACGGTAACTAAGTGTGAAAAGACTTAATTTCTTCAGTCTCTCCTCATATGATTTGTTGCGGAGGCCGGATCACCCATTTTGTCGCTCGTCTCTGGACACTTTCTAGCATGTTAGCATCCCTTTTGAGTAGCGGAGGAGCAATGATATTATGCACCTCAAGGAGTGGCCTCACGTATGTCGTATACAACGTTAGGAATAGTTCAGGAGTAAGAGCTCCCAGCTGCCTATGCATAAAGTGTAAAGTGGAGTAAGCTTTGGCGACGTCCCTCGTGTAATTTACATTGGTGTCTAGCTTTTCTCTTAAAATAAGACCTAGGTCGCGTTCTGATGGCACACAACTCAAGTTCTGGTCACCAAGGGTGTAATTTGCACTCTGTGACCTGCCGGAATGAAGTTGCACTACTTTGCACTTCTTTAGGTTGAAAGGCATTCCGTCAGCCAGAGCCCAGTCTCCCAGAGTTTGCAGGTCAGCCTGCAATCTGTCGGAGTCTTCCGATGAGTTTATTGCTCTCCAAATCTTTACGTCGTCAGCGTAAAGAAGCGCAGAGCAATTCAGTTGACAGGGCAGGTCTTTGATAAAAATCAAAAACATCAACAGCCCTAAGATAGAACCCTGAGGAACCCCTGATGCCAAGGTGCCAGGATGATCGGATGCGGTTGACTTTGGTGCAGAATTCTCTCTCGCCTAAGTAATCTTCCAGTCATGCGAGAAGTGCTCCAGAAACACCCGCTTTGCTTATTTTGCTTCTATATCTTTCACATTTTTCCTGAGATCTGGTGTTTTTTTATCCCATATTCATTTGTTGTGAGATGAATCCACTCTTACCTCTTCTCAACTATGATAAGCGAGCTGTTATATTAGGACTACTATTAATTCACTGTAGGTCCGGTATATAAATCATTTATGGATGAACTAGTATTATTGGTTGTCCTCTCATGACTCCGGTTTGTTTTGGTGCAAACAAGTGAAAGCTAGCAGAAAAATGTTTACCAGCTACATTACCACCATCAGAAATTACATGAGACCTTTTTCATGAAGAACCATCTGCATTCAAGCAGCCAAGGAACCATAACGAGACATGATCTTTTAACCATGCAGTCAATATTTCTCGGGTTATAACTAAATGTAAGACGTTTTTATACGTTTTAGTCGGAGTTAGGAGGCAGTATACGCTCACCATATGTTCTGGTAGGCAGTCTAGCATCTGCTCTCCAAGGGATATGAATGTGATAGCATATGGGAGACTTTCCATTAACTGTGCTGAGAAACAAAACATTTAGTTGACTTTCGCGACCTTTATCCTGTTTGGTTTACGTATTAGGATAAATTTTCCAGTGCAACTTGAGTTTTCGCAATGCCCTTCGTTTGCTCAGGTGAACAGATATGGAAAATACGGTACGTTGAAGTCGCAAGGTAACCTGTCCCCACAATCATTCAGGTGTCGTTTTAAGTCTGGCCCAATAGCCACAGCAACTGCTAGGGCCATTTCACAAATAACCTTGTGGGCTCCCAAACTGCGAACCCTACTATATCGCGGATCATCTGAATTATCTGTATGTTCCGAAGCATTTTAACGACATAAAGTTGTAGCGGTTGATGATTCACTAAAATTATTAACCATAATGTTTGTCACTCAACACTGGACGCTGATTGTCACTGTTAAAATGTACTTGCTTAGCTGTAGGCTCATGGTCAAGCATCCACGCCGTTCGGCACGCAGTGGTGTTACGTTTGTTCACGATCCCCAACTAGTTAAGCAGTCATTCTTGCACTACGATTTTGGTCCCGTATTTTGGATGATCAAATGGGTGTTTTGCTTTGTCTTCGGTATACTAGGAACGATTACTATAGACGTTGTGGGTTTAAGATCTTAAGTGAGTATACATAGTACTATCCAAGAATTTCAACGCCCTCAGACTCTGAACTGATGTGCCCTACCGCGAACTCCATCTTCCCTGGTAAGCAAGTATACGAATCCGGCATGTTCGTTCTATTTGGCTCTTTTTGTGAGTTATAAATGCCATATTTTAAATATTTTCTGCAGTGAGTGACCGTACGCCAAAGGTCGTCCGTATCCGACCTATTAGCAACACTAACCAGCTCGTGCCGTTTGGGCCAGACAATGCGTAGTTTCTGATGGCCGAATCTGACTTCAGTGGATATGGGATCACTGACCGAAGTCCACAGTTTCTTGCAGTTATCAACGCTCCACCACGGGAAATAAGTGAATGAGTAAATTTGCAAATGTCCAGCTCAGAGATAAGCAGCTCCTACGAGACGCTTAGAGCAGCCCTTTTTAAGAGAATCGATCCTTCGGATCATCAGCATCTGGATGAAACTTTTTGCACTGTCGATTTAGGTGATCGATCGGCCGTGTACATGATGGCACGGATTCGGGAAGTTACTGGCCAATGTCAGTTAGATGAGGGACTCTTTAGAGAGCTGTTCTTATCTTATTGCCACCGTCAATGCAGGTAGTGTTTGTGACACTCCAAGGTGTTATTGTAGACGGTTTAGCCACCTCTGCTGATGAAATCCTAGAGATATCACAACACTCAGTTACTGAGATGTGCCTCATCGGTAAACAGTTTTAGAGTATTGATACTGAAGTGACAGAGTTATGCAACCCCGTCGAGCGTCTACTCAGGCCAAAAATCCCCCAATCTCTCCCAACTGTCGGTGGAATTCCGTTTATGCAGAAACTCAGATGATCGACCAAAATCCAAACCCTGACTGTTGTTGGCATCCCAATGCCTATGGCCAGGAAGAAAAATTTTACCGAAAACCTTGTAATTTTGTCGAAGACTCCAAGACTACGGGGAGCTATGCTGCCAGCATGAGTTAGCGGCGACCATCGCCAGTGGCATTATCCGCCCAATTTACCTCGGCGATGTAGTCAACCAAAGCCGTTACTTGGCGGGAACAGGTGCCGAAGTCGATGTTCTTCCTGCTACAGAGGCAGATCGACAGAAGGAACTTACCTTTGACTTACAGGCTGCGAAAGGAAAAGCCATTGCAACCTTTGGTAGAAAATACGCCTATCTGAACGTAGGTTTACGCATATCCATTCCGTGGATATTCTTCCTTGATGATATCACAATGCCCATCATAGGCACGTACCTAAATTTTGTTTCGATAAAGTCTCACAGTGTTGTGCAGTAATGCTCACTGATGTCGTTTCGAGCACAGTTTATTGCTCATAATCATATCAAGGTGATTATGAACTTAACGCATGTGTAAAAATCCTTTCGCTCAGGTTGAAAAACACATCGAGGAAGCAAATACACTTATGTATCAGGACTCAGAGGCATCATTATATATCTCAGTTTACGCATATGAAACTGCTATTGGCACAGTTCTGCGACAACCATTCAACAAAAAGCGGCGCACACTATTCATTTGAACGAGGCGCCTACATTCGACAGAATCAAAGTGCACTACATTTGGCAGATAGCCTAAAATGGTAAGTATAGTTTAATAATAATAATTTATGTTTTGGTATAAACATAAGTGTAAAACTTGGGCACTGTGGTAGAGTATAACTTCATTATGGATAGGATTTTGGTAAATCGCACAGTGTTATACAGTAATACTAACTGGTGACGTTTCGAGCACAAACTATTGCTCATAATCATATCAAGTCACTCACACGACGTTTTGCTCCATGAAGGCTTATTCACTGCACCGGAATTTCCATCATGTCTTGCAGAGCAGTCGAACACCACGAGTGGTTTATGGGGCACTTTGGGGTTTAGAACTAGGTGATGACGTAGATACAACCTTCCTGGTGTGCCTTGATCTATCACCATCTCTACGTAAACTTTCGTTATTTATTTTTTCAATGACATCCCTTTACTTAATCCCCAGATTTAGATCGAGGACAAACTTTCTGCTTTTTATTAATAATAATTTGCTTTATTTCAAAAACAGTACCAATGATACAGCAAGGAATTTTCAGCATTCAGTACAATATTGCATCTAATTTACTCAAAAGTGACAAAAAGATCACAAAAAAAACAAATAAAATTAATAAACATTGCATAATAATGATAACAAAACGCTGTTATAGCAGCTATTTAGCAAATTACTGCATGCAATACGGAGAAAAATGTG